AACAATGGAGAACCCGTCAACAAAAAAAAAAAAAAAAAAAAAAGATAAGACTCAGGCACTGTGCCTGTAAACTTTGGCCTAAGGGTTGGTGGCCTCCTCTGAGAGCAGTGATAAGGGTCGGGGAAGGGCTGGGGACCTGGGGACCTGGGCAAAGGACGTTGAAGGTGAGGGGTGGGAGAGACCTCAAGATCTCAGAACAAACCACAGAGAGAAAGTCCAGCCAGGAGGACACAGCCCCTCCTCTGCAGTGCTCCCTGAAGGGCCCAGTTAACCACAGAAATGGAGCCCAAGCTATAATGGGCAGCTGCCACCGTGGGTATGGCCACTGCCAGGCTCCAAGGTGTTTCTCTGTCTCTGAAAACCCAGCACTTTGCAATGATCCCTGCTAAGCCGGGCATGGTGGTCCACGCCAAGAATCCCAGTGCTCGGGAGGCTAAGGCAGGAGGATTGCAAGTTGGCGCCCGGCCTGGGCAACTTAAGTGAGAGATCCAATCTCAAAATAAACATGAAAAAAAAAAAAAGAGTGAGTCCTGAAACCAGATGACAGCCAACCCCAGGAAGACGCTGAAAGGTGGGACCTTGCAAGGTCAGCTGTGTCCCTGAGGGGACAGCAGGCACTCACGGCTATCACGATGTCGCGCATGTGCGGGAACTCCTCGGGGTGCAGAAAGGCTGTCAGCTCCTCCCTTGTGGCCATTGAGTCCCCGTCCTGGTCGGCCACTCGGAAACGCCGCTCATCCCTGGCTAGCATCTTCTTATAGGTCTCAGCATCCTCCACGTCGTGGAATTCTTCCCCTGGGGGATGGAACCGGAAAGATGGTCTCAGAGAGGGAGGGCCAGGTGCGGAAGGGGACGAAGGACAGGGCAGGGGCAGGACAAGTCCCCAGAGCTCAGAAGCATTAACATGTACCAGTGATTTTCATGTCATTTATACAGCCAGATGTGGTGGCACACGCCTGTGATCCTACCACTCGGGAGGCTGAGGCAGGAGGATCACTGGGAACTCCAAGGCAGCCTTGGGCCACATAGTGAGTTCAAGGCTGCCATGAACTACATGGAGAGACTTTGTCTTAAAAATCAAGCAAGAAGGGCTGGGGATTTAGCTTGGTTCCACTGCCTGCCTTGCTGCCTCTCAAGCAAAAGACCTGAGTTTGATCCCTGGTACCCGCCCCCCAAAATCAAGAATTTTATTATGTAAGTTTTAATATACAATAAAAAAAAATTTTGTGTGGTACTGGGAGTGAACTCAGGACCTTGAACTTGTGAGGAAGGCACAGTACCACTGAGCTAAATCCCTAGCCCCTTGTTTGTTTGTTTTAAAGAGTAGGAAAAATTTATTGAGAGAAAGATGGCTTCTGACTAGGAGAGACAGAAGGTGGGCCAGAAAGTGGGTTACTCCTGTTTTTTGTTTTTTGAGATAGGGTCTCTCTATGTAGTTCAGGCTGGCCTTGAACTTGAAGTGATCCTCCTGCCTCAGCCTCCCAGTATGCTGAGATTGCAGGTGAGCACCCCCATGCCTTCCTAGACAGCTAATTTATAGCAGGAACTTAACATAAAAAAAAGCTCTATATGTACAACACTGCATTTAATGCTCATGAAAAGCAAGACAACTGGGCTCTTCCCTTTTTGTTAGTTGCTGAATGAGCAAGGGACTCCTGGCAGAGGGAACAAGGACACGAGGCCAGGGATGGGGCTTGGACCGGGCGGGGGCCTGTTTGGCCCCACAGTGCCTGTGCAGGAAGCTATCTTGACTCAGCTTCCTCCAAAGAAGGGAGGGAAGAGGATATGCAGGCTGCAGAGGGTAGAAGAGATGGTGAGGTCCGGGACTCACAGAAAAGCCACTGGAGGCAGCAGAGTCAGAAACAGAGCTGAGGGTGGGTGGGGCAGGATGGAGGGAACAGGGCAGCCCTGAACCGGTGGGGGAATCGGCTGTGGGGTGCAGAGACCCGGTGGAGCCTGGGGAGCAGCTGGAGGTGCGGGACCAGTGGGCCAGATCAAGACCGCAGGGGTAGGGGCACTGGGGCCAAGGCCTGGGAAAAAAGTGGGAGTCAGGGTTCAGGGCAAATGGCTTTAGGGTTCTCAGGGTTAAGAGATTAGAGAACAGGGCTCAGGGGTCAGGGTTATGGAAGACCGAGGTTCTGGTCAGGAATCTGAAAGCCCCAGTCACCAGGACACAGATATTAGGATCTCAGAATGAAAAGCAAGACATCAGAAATTGCGGCTCTCCTAAGACAGGCACAGGGGTGCACGCCTGTAATCTCAAGATTCTGGGAGGCTGAGGCAGGAGGATCACCGCAAGTGCGAGGCCAGTCTGGACTAGGAGGAGAGACTGTCTCAACCCCCACCCCCAAAAAGGGGTCTCAGAAAGATTGCGTCCTAAAGTGGGTCAGGGGACAGGTGGGGACTCTGGGTCAAAGGGTTAATCGTCCTCAGGATGAGGGGTCAGAAGGCTGGGGTCGCGGTGTGTGTCAAGGGGAGCAGGATCCTGTCCCACGCGTACCGGGCGCGTAGTGACCATAGGTGGCGTTGCGCAGCTCCTCCCAACCCACGCGCCCGTCGCGGTCCGTGTCGTACGTGTCCCAGGCCGCGCTCACCGAGTCCCGTATGTGCCGCTGCTGCGTGTGCGTGATCCACGCACGAAGCTCGGCCAGCGACACCCAGCCGTCCCCATCGCCAGCGCGGTCCATGCGGTCCACGATCCGCCTGAGACAGGGCGGGGCAGCGTCAGTCAGGCCACGCCCAGAGCAGGAGCCACCCCACCCCACCCCGAGACACAGCGCCTTGGGATGGAAATACATACGGGGCTCCAACCCACCGGGTGGCGCTCCTGTGATCCCAGCATTGTGGGAGGCTGAGGCAGAAGGATTGCAAGTTCAAACCCAGCCGGGCCAATTTAGAGATTTAGCCAGGCACTGTCTCAAAATAAAAAAATAAATAAAGGCCAGGAATGGTGGCGCATGCCTTTAACCCCAGCTTTTTGGGAGGCTGAGGCAGGAGGATCAGAAAGTCGAGATCAGCCTTTGGCATCTCAATAACAAAATTTAAAAGGTTGGGAAGGATTTTGGTGGTAAGGCGACCCTGGCTTCAATCCCCAGTAGTACAATAAATAAATAAAATAAAAAATGCAGAACTGGTTATGTAGTTCAGTGTGAATGGGCTGGGTTCAATCCCCAGAACCAAAGGGAAAAACAAAAAAAGCAGTCCTGAACCGGGCGTGGTGGCGCAAGCCAGTAAGCCCAGCACTCGGGAGGCTGAGGCAGGAGGATCCCTGTGGGTCGAGACCAACCTGGGCTACAAAGTGAGTTCTCAACTAGTGAGACCCTGTCTCTAAAAAACAAAGAGCAAAAACAAAACAAAACAAAAAACAGAGTCCTGGGGCTGGGGATTTAGCTCAGCGTCTTCGCCGCCTGCCTTGCAAGAGCAAGGACCCGAGTTCGATCCCCGGTACCAAAAAAAAAAACAAAAAAAAACGAAACCCTGGACCCAGGGGGGGCA